GAGAGAGAGAGAGAGAGAGAGAGAGAGAGAGAGAGAACGTGGTGTGTTGATGTGGTGCTGTGCATACTCTGTTTTCTGTTACAGAAGATAAACCGCTAACTTATTCCCCAAGGAAATATCAATAGAGTATTATAACGTATCTCATTCGAATACCATAACACACACCATTACTTATGCAGTTGCGAGCGCCATAAAACCTCTACTAAAACAAACAAATAAACACACCATCATTCTGCAGTATATTTATGAAGAGATGTTTTTCTATGGATTTGCAAACGGTTATTGCACCTGAAATTCCTATCTACCTTATCCGAAGACTGCACACACAATTAATATAATACTCTGCAGTATATCTACCGTCGATAGCACCCGAAGAGATTTTTTTCTTTGGATTCGCAAACGTTTATTGCACCTGAAATTCCTATTTATCTTATCCGAAGATTGCACAAACAAATTAAATAACATAATATTCTGCTATATATTTATAAATATCGATTAGCGCGTCACACAGAAGTTCTATCTATCTATCTGTAGGAATAGAGATCGAGCCGATGATAAAACATTGATGGCATCTTCACAAAGAGAATGACGAGCTTGCTGAGAGACATTACAGGCCAGCGAAAAGACGCACGTATAACTCGACCTCACACTCAGAGATGTTGGTGGTTGGCGTGTGTCTGCTGTGGTTTGCTCCTTTTCCCCTATCTATCAAACAACTATCTTCTTTATCTCCCCTCCTTCTTCTTTTAAATAATATGTTTCCTACTCTGTTGTATCACCTCTTATCTTCGGCACTTAAATGACCTAATTGTGTTGCAAGAGCTCTATAAAAAACGCGTACATAAACAAACACTCATATACATGTACTGCTTATTACGTTGGACTTTCGTTGCGTGAGGATCTCATTTAACCCTATCCATACGCCCTGGGGTCATTTTGTATCCCCGGGGTTGTATTCTTCACATTTTAGAATACTTCTAGAACGAAGATCTCTTTGAAACTTTCATTATTTCTTAAATTATCATTTTGACAGACTGCTATGCAAAACCTACGGATCGGATTTACGAGTAAATTTCCTCTTTGGAAAGTGGTGGCACAGAGTTCGCCACGTCGTATGGATACGATAGTAAAACACAACGTGCGGATAGGGTTAAAAGGGAACACTTTTCTTACTTTTTGGGTGTATAAAGGTCAGCCTAGGATCTTGACTGCCGAATTATTATTATTACAGCGAAGGTGGTCACTACCTGTTTAAAATGTCTTCGGTGAGTGGATCGGGAGCCATAGCATGGCACACAAAAACTCTCCTGTTTTGTCTTAGTAAGAGTTTTTACGGCACTTACAACACAGTAAGGGCATTTAAGTACCGAAGATTAGGAGGTATTCTAAGAGTAATATACACAAAAAGAAAGAGAAGAGATCAGGAAAACATATATTTGATAGGAAAATGGGACAATCCACACCAGAGCACCTGCTGCCAACCATCCACAAAACCCACTCAGCGACAAATTAAAATTATGATGAACGCTATAAGACAGTATGTTGGTTTGAAGAAGAAAAAAAAAGAGAAAACAAACAAACAAACAAACAAACAAACAAACAAACAAACAAACAACAACAACAGCAGCAACAACAAAAATAACAACGTGGGTACAAAGGAGACATTGATTTCAGAGTCTCTACGTAACGTCTATTCTTGTCTACCAGATCTCTATATGCCACAAACGAATGCATAGCATTACGGAAAACGGAACAAACAGTTTGTAATTACGAAAAAAAGGTTATTTTTTCCTTTTACATCCCCTAAGAAGAACAACAATAAATGACAATTTTCGCAATCTATGGTCTGGAATCAGCATCGCTAAATATGTTCTGTTTAAATACGTACTAGAAATAGCGTTATGTTTACTCGAATGTGATGGATTATGCAATGAAAACATATTACAACTGTTGTTTGCTGAAATCAGGCTTTCAATACAGCCATTGCACCTCCCCCCCCCACCTTTCCCGCAAACACACATACACACACATACACACACATACACACACACTCGCACACACACATACACACACACACACACACACACACACACACACACACACAGACACACTGCGGTCCACCCTCGACCAGTACTTTTTATAACCAGGAGACCAATCTAGCTTTCATTAGCTTTCTGTTGTTATGATCAGGAAATAACATGTAATCCCAATAGTAACAAAAATGGTTACCCCTTTGTAACGGCAGCGCAGTTACAAACAAAAATAATTAGCCATTTGGAAGGAAAGAAAGAAAGAAAGAAAAAAGAGGCGTGGGTAGGTATTGATGTGCCAGACAGCCTTATTCCAAAGGCCTTAATCATTCTCTAAAATAAGCAATCATCTAACAAAACCTGTTTTATTAATCAATCAATCAATCAATCCATCAGTCCTTATAGATTAGCTTATCTTTTGTGTCTGTGTTGTTTGTTTGGATTGTTTTTCTTTCTACAGCATTTATCGTTTATATCTCTGATGCAGTACATGATGTTATTTCCCGTTACGATATTTCTACATCTCCGCACAGTGGCTGCGCCTTTTGTTTTCCCTGGTCGATCCATTTATGGGAAACGCTTACATAGGTAGAAAGTTCTGCCCGCATTTGATAAAACAAAACCAAACCGACGTTTTGTTTGGATTCGCAACGTTTATTGACTGTACTTATGAAGCATGTCGTCTCCCCCCCCCCCCCCACACACACAAACACGTACAAGATAAGCGAAAGAAATCTAATAAACAAAAACAACACTCCCATTCCAAACAAAACAAACAAAGCCTCCCTCCCACCATTTTCAAATAAAAGGAAAAAGCCAACCCCAAAACAAAACAAAAAGATAAGAACAAGAAAGCCACCACCAACAACCCCCCAAAACCAACAAACAAACAACAACACATTTTTTAACAAACCCACCCCCTCAGTCCTGCGTTGGGAACGTGGAAAACAAGTTTTCCAAAATTTGGAACACAATTTCGTGATTTGGCGCTAACCGCTGAAGCAGTGCCCACTACAGATGGGATCGGCCGATCGGCCCGATCGCCCGACTCGATCGCCTCAAAAACAAACGTGTTTGTTTTCAGTTTCAGACGATTGAGTCGGGCGATCGGCTCGATCCAGCCGTAGTGGGCACCCCGTATAATGCTCAACAGTTATGATTATATTATAATAATTTATATAGAAGACAACTGGACGTGAGGAAGCGAAAACAGAAATCCAGAACACAACTACCAATTCAAAAGAAAATTTGGTCACTTTTAAGGACAAGCGGGCTAACCCAAATTTCGGGGGTTTCCATAAATCTTGACCTACACCAAAAGAGGGCATTGCCCTACCTATAGGAGAAGTTTGGTTTCATTGGTGTGTATATTTGTTTGGTTATAGAAAAAAACTTTCCTGTCTTTTAAAAGAAACTGAACAAGGGGCAAAAATTTACCTTCGATTTTCTCAAAACAGCATTTTTGGGGAAAGCCCCCTTGTGCTTAAAAGCGACCAATTCAAAAGAACATAACATTATGGCCGTTTTTAAGGACAAGCGGGCTAACCCAGAAGAAACCTTGTCCTACACCAAAAGAGGGCACTGCCCTAGCTGTAGGAGAAGTTTGGTTTCATTGGTGTGTATATTTGTTTGGTTATAGACACAACTTTCCTGTCTTTTTAAAGAAACTGAACATGGCGCAAAAATTTACTTTCGATTTTCTCAAACCAGCATTTTTTTCGGGATAGCCCCTTTGTGCTTAAAAGCGACCATATTAGGTCTTAATTTGACTTTTATTTGAAAAATGAGCAACGACCTTTTGAAAACATACACTAAATAAAACCGCGAATACAGAAAGATATTGGGGGCAAAGGAAAGCTGAGTATTATTACACGTAAGGCGGAAGTCATAGCCATGACCCACTGACATCGGAATTTCAATTATCGACCCACAGTAAACGATACATTTCCAAAAAAGAAAGAACAGACAGATATATAAATTTATTCGTACCAACTGCAGCAAGGTTACTGAACACACAGTGCTACAAATGAAACACACACACACACGCACACACACACACATACACACACACACACACACACACACACACACACACACAGAGAGAGAGAGAGAGAGAGAGAGAGAGAGAGAGAGAGAGAGAGAGAGTTTCTCGGAGCGGGTTGTTTCAGCGCGTGAGACATGTTTTACTTGCCTTGTTGTGTGTATGCGTGAGTGCACCTAACGTTTGTAACATCTAGAGACTACTGCCATTGTAAACAACCAAGACAAATTTCTCCCTGCGAGATGAATAAAGATTGTCATTGTCATTGTCATTGTTATAGATCAACGCACAAAAACATTTGACAAAATAATATGCAGGCTCTTGATACGTTCTGTTAGAAGATAGCATCAAAGAAGATGACGTAAAAACTGAGCTGCTTTGAGATCAAAATCTAAGACATAAAACAAACAAATAAACAGATAAGACTTTGAAAAACCGAACCCATACAAATAGCCCAATAAGAACATTCAGAATGAACGGGGGGATAAAAATAAAGAGAGACGGATGAAGGATCTGAGAAGGTCATAAAAAGTCAGGAAGAAAAGAGGGAAAAGATAAGGAGAAAGATACACAGTTGCATCATGGTGAACGAAAGGGCGATCAAGCGAGCAAACAGCCCCATGAGAAGATATCCTGAGGCGGCTTTTCACAGAATGAAAACTGGAGAAATCCGGACAAAAAAATGTAGATGTG